CACTGACAGAGGCGAGGCTGCCGGACACTGGCGCCACCGGGCCCTCTGACCACCACCAGTAGGCAAACACGGGGTTAGTATCTTGCCCAAGGATATTTGGCATGTAGCCAGGAGGCAGCCTGGGATCGAACCACCGACCTTCTGATTAGTGGCTGACCTGCTCTGCCACCTGAGCTACAGCCAAAAAGTCTTCTATGAAGACCTCTTTTATGTTACAACACCTGTCTCCATTGGGAAATGGGAGCATTTTCCTTCATTACGCAGACTACTTGAAATTTGGGTCATCTTTGAGACATGCAAAAACAGTACATGTGTACATAGTACAAAATATGCAGCCACCACATCATAAACACAAGTATCAACTATAGTTTTACTATTAAAGATAAGTGATTCTGAATATTCGAAGCTCTTTAGTCTATGAGCCACATTTGCACATTAATAGCATGTTTTGTTCTATGGATTTTATCTGCCCCACATCCAAAGCTAATTTTGAATCTGGGAGGAGACTGTATTTTTAGCATTTCCTACAACTAAAGTCATACAAACTCCACACAGAATGACCCCAACCCCCTAGCCCTGGGGGCAAAGGTAACACTAAAAGAAGTCATTTTAAGAAGTCATATTAACCCTCCATTGGGCATGGGGAGCAAAATCTTATACTCACAAAAGGGAAAATGCTCAAAAAAGTTCGGATGACCAAAATGCTGGAAAAGAACAACATGACATCAGAGCTTAATCTTTACTCACATCCCACACAACCCTGACTTTATTTCCTATGTGAAGTCAGCTAAGGTTTTAAGGTTTATACAGCTTTGTTCAAGTTCACTAGCCAAGCATGCATTGCTCATGAGGCCTATTTTTAGTAGGTAATAAAACAATATTTGTGTGGCTTTTCTGTTGTCTCATACTAACAACAGCAGCCACATTAAAAAAACACGGCAACAAGATGCACTCAAACTTATACATAACCCTACATAAGTAAAGGTTTTGTGAGAGCTGTT